AATGTATGCGTTTTTGTTTATTTTTAACATTAATAAGAATAATGTTTTTATGTAAGTTTGTACGAAATTTATGTAGATATACTTCGCGGTGGTACGCAGCTCCTGTTGACATTCAAAAATTGTTAAGTTTTGTAATACTGAAATCTTCGAAAACGTGTTCCGTGACTGTTTTCGGTGGCCTATTAGACGCGTCGATGGAAAGTTTTGCTTCGGTAGCAGTTTTTTATGTTACTTTTGTTTTGTTATAGCTAGAAGACACGGATGTGTAACTCAAATGTTTTTTTCTAGGTGACTAGTATGTCATTGTCTTATTTCACGGTGCTATATTCGGTGCGGTCGTAACGTAATCTATAACCAGATGAAGTGTGATAGAGACATATAGGGAAGATTTTTACTTTGTACTGGTAGTAAAATATGTAACACTTTGTTTATTTGTGGCAATACGATATGTGAAAGTGTATTTTTGTCGCTTCGCGATAAGTGAGTGTTCACGAAAAGAAAAAAACTAACAGAAATGTTGATGGTGACAAGTATTGCACAATAACTTTTGCTCCAAACCATGATTTACAGGTGTTTTACGTGCAACAGAAAAGTTTGAAGTACAGTTTTTATTACTACACTTAATACATTTAAAATATGGTCACATTGTGGATATAAACAACATACACAAGCAAAGTTTTAACAAATATTTCGTAGTTGGTTTCAGGATCTTGATGATGCTGTGTTAATATTATCATGCTAGTACACGCGCGATGTGTGTTAGGATTCAATAAATTTCATACTTGTAGAGAAGCACTTAAAAGCTGTAAGCAAGAAATTACGAGCGTGTGTAGTATTTCCGTGACAAAGTATTTGGATTACGGGCGTTCACTCTTACTGATGTAACACAATTTGCGAGTTTTTCGCCAAAGAAAAACGCCATATGCGTGCATTCTGCCAAGAAAGTACTTAATTATCTTAGGTATGCTAGTATCCGAGCTGGGCTTTCGATCAATAAGCTGCTTTTATTGTCGTTCAAAATAAGAATTAAGTAGTACACATCTGCAGTTTTTGTTTTTTGGATAATTTTTATATTCGCACTTCTACGTCGCTGTATACTTTCGAATTTTTATTCAGAGATACTTTAGTAAGAGAGATAGTTGGAAATATTGTTTTCACAAACAGCTGCAGTTAGGATTCTTTGTCGAGGCACGAGATGAATTTGTAGATACGCAATGGGATCAACAGGATTCTTCTGTACAGTCGAATTCTGTACGAACCACGAGAGAAAGAACGATCTGTGTGCTGTAGAGTCCGAAAAAGCACTAGAACGTGATAGAGCGCAAAATATATTGCGCATGCGCCATGTTAGCATGAAAAAGTACACCTGTAGGATATTATTAACTTATAGAAACATTTTCAAAAGAAGGAACCAAATTGTGGAGCATCTAATACCACTTAATCGAAGCGCATGTCGCATTTTCACCCTAACGTTCTGGTACCATCGATCGCGCAATTTTTTATTTTTATTGCGCGAAGGTATACGGAGTTTAGAAAAGATGTGCAACATTTATGGTCGATAATAACGACTATTACGTAATGATGAGACTGTAAGCAAAATTGTGGCGAAATTGTCACGAGGAAAACGCGGGGTGGAAGTAGGTGGTAACGAAGATGTAGACTGTACACGGCACGAAGATGCGTTTAGACTCTTAGTGAGGATGGATATATACGACGATCGATTCTACGGGCTTATGCGCCGTTTGATGATCTCCATCGGTCTATGGCCTGATCAGAATCCTAGACATAGGAAACTTTTGCGTGTGATCATATCAGCTATTCATATGCAGGGTATAGTCATGCAGGTGATGACGTTTGTTACACGCACAGTGCGTGAAATTTTTACAATTAAAAGTAAAACTGCGAATTATAAAAAAAAACACATAAAATTTCGAACAGTATAATTCTTTCGTGCGCACGGGAATAATGTTTTTTACAGTACATGACTTTTCTCACGCATCAGTTCAGCGGAAAATTATTTGTCGACCTGATGTCTTTCAATGGTCTGTTGTTCGTCTACCTGGTGAAGTATCACTCGATTTATATAAATTCCACGAACGTAAGTTAAAAATTTACGATTATATTTTTGACAATTGCTCATGCGCTTTCTTTTTTATTTCAACATGCGTGCGATATGCGTACGCAATTATACTTGGTACAACGTCTAGTATTTGTTGACTAACTAAATATGTTTTTTTTTTTTATAATTATTTTGTCGCAGGTGAAATCGTTATTCGAACAAATTAATTGCGACTGCGTTGCGATAACGGACAGCCGAGAGATGGAAATAATACAGAAGTACGCTTCTCGAGGACGACAATACACCATTGTTTCCGGATGTTAGTAAACCAACGTTGTTTTTCGGACAAACCTGCGGTTTGTTCTATACTCGACAGTTGTTCAATTTAATGTGGAATTACTCGGATAGGCAAAACAGATATGTTTGCACAAAGTACAAAAAACTCGATCGCAAAGTGCTATCTGCCGGTGTGTTATTGCAGCGATCGTTTACACGGGCACGGTATTCTTCTTTGTGACGTTATGTATACCGGATATTCTTAACATCGTAATTCCGCTGGACAAGCCTCGTCTACGCATTGTACCTACTCCCGTAGAATGCTTTTTCGATCAGCAAAAATACTTTTACGTAATTATATCTGACATCTTTGTGATAGCTATGGCAGGCATGACCACGCTAATGGCGACCGAGACCATGTTTATGGTGATTATACAGCACGTCTGCGGATTGTTCACACTTGCAAGGTGAAAGAGTTTGGATAATTTAATGTCTTTGATTTCGCTTTCTATTGCAAATCACTTTGTTATAAGATCACTCAAAGAACAAATGACGTATAGCAGCGTAGTTTGCCATGTTTTGGGCAATATTTTACTTCAAACAGTTTCGAGGATGTTAACATTTTAGTTATCAAATCGGTCGCGCGTTTGACGATTGCAAAGACACATCCGCTGTCAAACGGAACTTGTTGCATGCCATAAGAAACCACGCACGATCCTTACGGTATGTTAATGTAGTGTTTATTTTTCTAATTTATTGCGTTTGTTACGTGAAAATTTTTACATTTTGTTTCATAAATCATACCACTGGAATTTAATATGTAAAATATGTAAAATTGAAGATTAATAGAACTTATGAATTCATACTTTTCTGTATCTTACTTGATTCTCGCGATATTTGGTGTCATGTCATTGAGCATTAATATGGTACGAGTAAGTAGCGCTCGTTTTTTATTGAGGGAATTAAAGAAGTATGTTTTACTTTTCACGTATATATAATTTAAGATACAAGAAGATTCCGATTTGTTTCAGCTGTATCAAGCGATCGAAGATAACGCAATCAATGAGATGCTTGCTTCCGGTTTATATGTTTTTTCTCATTTTTGCTATGTGTTTTGGGTCATGTATTTTGGACAGTATTTGGCCGATCATAGCGAAAACTTCTTTGAAGTAGCGTGAGTATCTTTTGCACGGTAATTAACGTGTTTTGTTAAAAAAAAGTCAATCAAATTAAATGAAAAATAACATTTATTTGCGTAGATATTCCTCGCGGTGGTACACAGCTCCTGCACACATTCAAAAATTGTTAATGTTTACATTACAAAGATCAATGAAAACGTGTACCTTTCAAGTATTCGGTAGCCTGTTGATCGCATCGATGGAAGGTTTCGCATCGGTAGCAGTTTTTTTTATGTTAATTTTGTTTCGGTACAGCTGGAAGACACGGGTGTGTAACTCAAATTTGTTTTTCTAGTTGACTAGTCTGTCAGTGTCTTATTTCACGGTGCTGTACTCGGTGCGATCGTAACGCGATCGATAACGAGAAGGAGCGCGATAAAAATACATCGGAGAGATTCTTTTGTGTTAACAAAATAACTTTTATCGATTTTTTTTTGCGTGTTTTGCAATGCGATGTCACACTACAGTTTTTGCACCGCGTCTGAATACTTGAGTGTTCAGATAGAGAAGAAATAAATAGATAGTTGATAGTGATGATAATTGAATTGTGAATTTTTTGCAATCAATAATACGGAAGAGGATGAAATTTCGCCGATGCTTGGACTCGAATCCAAGTGGGGTTTGTAACATTTGAACAGAAGTGTAAATTCGCCACATTACAAAATATCTTTGATTGTGTCGTAAATAACTTCGTAAACTACCTGACATTTGTGCAAACAAAAATCGACGAGTTGCTCACCGAATGAAACGAGTCAGTAGTGATAATGATAAAAGTATATTGTATTAAAAAATGTTTAATAGACACATTTATATTTATCGAAAATTAAATCTTCCTAAATATTCAAGGAAACTTTCAGAAGATAAAGCAATAATTTGGCGTATTATGCAATCCGGCATATCTTGCACGATGTCAACTTGCATTACTCTGACGTAATTTTAACACTTTGGGAGATTGTAATTACCGATTGTAATTATTGTAAGTCCTGAATAGAACGGACGTACGCCTACAAAGTGTTAAACAATATCACGCACATAATATTTTATAAATAGAAAACAATATGCGTTTCACGATCAAAATTACAAAACGTTACGCACCGCACACGAAACCCTACTAACGGTTGAACTGAATCGAAATAAAGCGAAAGCGCAACTGCGCTTGCGTGGCGCATACATACGCGAAGTGTTTCTCGATGAAAGCAAACGGCGTTTACAGTAAAGTGTTGCGTAATTTACGTAATTGCCGCCATCGGCGACTTTTCTCAACAATTTGCATGCAACACCCTATTTTTCCCAGACCCGATATAAATAAGTTAAAACAAAATTTGCGAGAGAGAGAAAGAGACATTACATATGTGCGAATGTATAGACGTAAATTTCGCAGAAAAAAAGAAGAGTAATAATGCAAACAGATGAGATAGAGCGAAGATGCTGGAGACACACTTCGCGCGTCTTAGGAGACAAACGCGCGACAAATTTTAAAGAGCAATATGGAATATCTTGGACGTCGATATTATAAACTTACTCGAATCTTTACGTTGCCGTTCGGTCTGTGGCCGTTCAACGATTCATTCGCGAAGCCAATACAAGCGTTTTTTTGTGTCTCTTTGCTCTTATCTGCGATATTGGTTCAGGTAACAAAGTGGCGCTTTAAGAAAGCAAAATATTAAATACATTCGTATTTCTGTGAAAGAAATCTCGCGATATTCGCGTGTCGCAGTAGAAATTTATTTAAAAACAACGTTTGCTCGTCTAGAAATTGAAGAAGAGGAAAAGTTTATTATTTACAATTTTCCAGGTTATAAGATTGTTTACAATGGAGTACGATCTCGTACTTATATTGACCGACGTGTCGTTCATCATTCCTTTCTCGGTTTATCTCTTAAAATACAACACGTTGTACATAAATTCTCGAAAGGTAAAGCGCGCGCAACTTTTTGTTTCTCTCGTTAATTTATTATTCTCGCAACGCACGCGTTAGCACTTAGTGTGTTCGTGTGTGATTGTCTCAATTAAATTTTGTGATTTTTAATTATATTGTATGAAACACATAGATCAGGAATATCATCAAAATCATAGAGAACAATTGGAACAAATTGAAAGACGAACGAGAAGTGGAGATAGTGCGGAAGCACGCGAACGACGGAAAAAAATTTATGTATTTCTTCGCGGGTAAAAACAAATTGTATTAAAAATTAATCCGAGAATTGTCTCAGTGATAAATTTTTTTTTTTTTTTTTTTTTTTTTAAGGCTTGGCGTATCCTGGAGTGGTTTGTTTTCTTGTAATAGAGTTCTCGGCAGATATTCTCGATTTTGTGGCGCCGCTTAACGAATCTCGTCCGCGAAATATCCTATTTGTAACCGAGTATTTTGTCGATCAGCAAAGATACTTCTATCTGATAGTGTGTCATATGACTTTGGCTGCCACTATAGGACTCGTGAGTGTCATAACCGACGAGACGTTCTTCTTCGCGTATATTCATTACATCTGCGGGATATTTGAAGTCGTTGGGTAAGATAGAGAGAGATTACGTTAAAAATAATAGAAATTTACTTTCTGATATTAGCCGAATCTTATTTAATGAACAAAGTGAAATGAAACGCGTTGTTGCAGGTATAGAATACAACATTCGTTGAATTGTGTGTCCGCGGCAAACAAGGAAAAGATCATTCGCATGAATATAATTGACGCTATAGAAAGTCACAAAAAAATCATCGAGTCAGCAACTTTCTTTTATATCATATACAAAATATGCTTTAATATTATATATATATATATATATATATATATATATATATATATATATACATATATATACCTTTACACTATACATTAGTTATATTGTTACAAGTACACGATACGATTTTTATATATTTTTATAATTAATCAAATTTTCAGAATTCACAAAATAGTTTTGACGAATAAGATTTTTTGTTATTGTTAAAGGCTCTTTGAGTACGTGATGGAAGCACACAAGCAATCTTACTTTGTATTAATGATTCTCGGCGTAGCTTCTTTGAGTGTTAATTTATTACGTGTAAGTAAATTTGTACGTGCATGCACCGAGTATTGTTTACACACTTTGTTTATATTTGTATAATTACAGTAATACTACAAATATTTTAATCGAAGTAATGTGACATTTAAATGTGAAATTGTTTGCGTTTTTCAGTTTTTTCAAACTTTAACAATATCGGATCAAAGAAAACAGTTAGTAATTTATATGCTGTTTATTATCGGTCATTTTTATTATATGTTTATACTGCAGTACATGGGACAGAAAATCACAAATAGCAGCATACAAGTTCACGTAAAAGCGTGAGTATCACCACTTCGAAATTACCAAGCAATCTGTCTTTCTATACGCACGTTTGTGATGTTTTTTTTTTGTTTTAATAAATAACTGTTATTTGTGCACTCTATAAAAATAGACAATACCCGCTGAGAACATAAATATATATATTTTTAATTAAATATATAATTTGTAAAATTCACGGCACTTCCCTCGATTGTTTTTAAAACTAAAAACACTTTTCGTACGTCACAAAATTAAAACACACGCAGAATATTCTCGACAATTTTTAGATACGATACGCAATGGTACGCGGCGCCCGTGCAAATACAAAAATTGCTGTTGTTTATAATGCAAAGGAGCATGAAATCCTGCAAGTTTTTTTTGGGCTATATTTTTCCTGTGTCGCTGGAACACTTTACCACGGTAACTTGTGTCGCGAATCTGACGATCTAATCATTCTCGATTCACCAGTATTTGTCCCGAAATAACAAATCTATTTTCTTAGCTCGCGAGCACGTCGGTATCTTACTTTACAATAATTTACTCTGTGCAAGAGTGAAACTAACAAAAATATGCGAAGAAATAGCAGCTGCGAGGTAGTGTTCTCTATATTCGAAAATAAACGATCGAAGAAAAATTTCGAAGATATATCCAGAAAAGTCAGCATGATTCGTAAAGAATTTGTGTCATGCATTCTACAAAATAACTTTTTGCTTATTAGTATTGTAGCAATAAATAATAACATTTTGCACCTTTTAAAATCTCTTATTCCGTTTTTGGTGTGACTTAAGTAATTGAAAACGCGTAATAATCGTAATTGTGGTAAAACATGAGCAATGAATTTAATTGTTAATGTTACGACTCTCTTTCTCTCTTTCTTTTTTCTAAAACAAAAATAAACAAACTGCAGCGTTTTACCTTATGCGTTGCACATTATCGTCAATGAGTTCAGGTCGTGAAACGAAATCGAGTTATAGGAACAGATGTTACTCCCAGGACGAATTAAATGTGAATGCAACACGGTCGGCCGATATAGACGCTCTTTTCGTTATTGCGCATGCGTCTCTCTCTCTCTCTTTTTCTCCTTAGTCGAAGAGGGAAAACTCGTCGCTTTATTATTCGTCGCTTTGGAACACCCGGGACACGGTAATTTGCACGCAATTTAAGCAATTTGGATAGTTACAGACTCATAAACATCGGTGAAACAACGGATCTATAGACTATTCTCTGAAAAGAATGTGTGAAATAGAAAAGTCATTAGCGCTATTTTCTTTTCTAACAGCTTTGCAATTTCGAGTAATAACTGCAGTGGAAAATAAAAAACTTGTTTGGAGACGTAAAATAAAGTATTTTTAACGGTTCGGTTAGATCTCATTTTCGTGATTGTCGTGCGACTAAACGTATCGCGTTACTACCATTGAATATGGACTTTGCAGGAAACCGCTACTACAATATACATCGCGTTCTTTTATCATCTGTCGGTTTGTGGCCGTATCAGAATCCGAAAATGAAAAAATTTCAGAGAGTTATTTATTCCGTTGTGCTTGTCTCGTCTATTGTTGTACAGGTAAATAATCAGATTTAGAACACATCTAAAATTGTTGTCTTTATCAATTTTTGAACATGCACGTCTATACGTCGCTATAATTGTAGATGGATCGGAAATCTCACACCACACATTTACTTTGTATGTGAAAACGTACATTGTTAATAGAAATAAAATAATAAAATATTTATCCGTTAGATATTTTCTATATTAAATTGTATTCAATATCAAACCGACAGCAATTACCAACCGCATGAAAGAGTTCAATTTTTTAATTCTCTTAATGCAATTTATTATTTATATGGCGAAGTTTTTGTTATTGAAAACAATTTTACATCTATATTAATGGTTTTTGTTTTAAATTTTACATCCATATAATATGCTTGCGGGCAAATTATTTGACAGTGTTTTAATAGCGACGATTTAACTGTATTTTAAATTATTTTTAGCTAATATCATTTTTTACAACTGAGTACAGTATGGAGCTTTTGCTCAAAATTTTGTCATTTGCTATACCTTGCATGGTTTTCGTTTTAAAATACATTTCCTTCATCATGAACAATGAATCAGTAAGTTGAAAGTAATTACATTTACAAAATTAGCCAACACGAAGTAATTTTATTAAATATATTTTTTTTTGTTATACAACAGAGAGATGATTTTTTTGTATATGTTGGAAATTAAAGTAATAAAATTTAAAAATTTTTCCATAGATGAGAGCACTCTTGGAATATATTGTGAGCGATTGGAATTTGGTGCGGACCGAAGTGGAGTTCGAAATTATAAAAAAACATTCCGATTTCGGACGGTTCTATACGTTGCTCTTCACATGTGAGAAACGAGATTTTGCTATTATTTTCGACGATTTTTTTATCAATTTATACATCTCACTTTTTTTTTAAAGCTTTTTTTCTATTAGTAGTTTACTTTTTTTCCATTAGTAGTTTACTTCTGAATAATAATAGATGGATATTTATTTAAAAGTTTGAAATGCGTTGCAAGTGGATATTCTGTCACATTAGTTGATCAAATACGTGACGAATTTCGTTTCGTTACATCACCGCCACTTTCAGGTGCGGTGTATTCTAGTCTATCCGGTTACGTGGTGATTCAATTTATGCCGGATTTTCTCGACGTTGTAGCGCCGCGAAACGAGTCACGATCGCACAACATACCTCTTGTCGCGGAATACTTCGTCGATCAGCAGAAGTATTACCTTCCGATTCTGCTGCACATCGACTTTATAGCTCTCATAGGTCTGACCGTTGTGATGTCCACCGAATCTTTATCCTCGGCCTACATTCAGCATGCGATAGGAATGTTCGAGATCGCCAGGTAAACATCTCGAGTCAGTAACTCTTCGATGTCTCTAACACGATATAAAGCGAACAATGTTTTATTAATCCAAACAATAATACGCAAAATTTCACTTTCAAGTTACAGAATAGAGCACGCGTTCGACGAGACGTTGGACGCAACGAAACCGAGCAAATTTTGCTTGTACTGTGCGAACATAATAAGCGCCGTGATTATTCACAGGAGAGCGATGAAGTTGGTGTCTTGTGTAAAATTTTAAAATTCTAAACTAAAATTACAATTTTGTTTTTCAAAGTTTTAATATTAAAATTTTGATCGTCAAACAAGAAACTACGAATATGTACATCATGTGTGTCTCTGTCTCTTTAAGTTTCTGCAAGTTTTTAATGTCCAACCTGTCGGTGTCGTACATATTTCTGGTTGCCTTCGGAGTCGCGTCTTTGACCGCAAATTTGCTTCGCGTAAGTTGTTGCGTCGCGCGCATCTGCGCGCGCGCGCGCGCGTAACGAATTCAGCAACCGTGTGTTGGAGTCGGCCCACAGCTGAGATTTCTTATCGTAGCTCGTTTTAGTTTCGCAATCCGGATATGTGAACAATCTCGAGGAGGTGTTCGTCGCCGCGATCTTTGTTCTCGGCCACGTTTATTACATATTTCTGGGCAATTACACCGGTCAGCGACTGATCGATCACAGCACCGATGTGTTTCACCGAATGTGAGTATTTTCTAATGGAATTTTTGCCATTTACATTTTCCTACGTTTACCGCCGTAATTTCTCTCGCGAAATGACAATTATTGGCGTGTGTTAAGTTGGCATCCTAACATTACATTTTTGTAGTTCTGATTAGAGTTCCCACTTTATTTTGAAGAGACTAAGAGTTCTAGATAGTTTATATAAAGAGTTCTGGTGATTTATTGCCTCAAAATTAAAATTAAAAAATGGAGAGCCAACTTCTAATCGAAAATCGTGATGGCACAGTTCTGAGCGGTTAAATAGTTTTGTTTTGCGATTATGTGTAGAGTTCTTGATACATAAAACAATTTTTTGATTATTCTAAAAAATCTTAAAAAATTTTGAAAAATTAATTTTTAGATATAATAGTTCTGAGCTAATTTTATTGAAATTTTATATATTTTAAAGAGTTCTCGACGATTGAAAAAATTTTAGATACTTAACTAAACAAGTTACAGACTTTAAAACATCTTTTTAAACCAGACGATTATTACACATATCTTTTTATCTAGTCATTTGATCGCTTTGATTTATAAGACATCTCGTTAGAACTCGTCGAGAACTAGCCGGAACGCTAATCAGAACTATCCGGAACTCTAAAAAAAATTCACCCACGGAACTTTGAACATTTTTTTATATGGATCAAAGCTATCGGACCAGTGGTTTGCAAGATACGCGACATTGTAAGCTGATATAAGAAAATTTTTCAAAGTTCCGTGGGTGAATTTTTTTGAGAGTTCCGGATAGTTCTGATTAGCGTTCTGGCTAGTTCTCGACGAGTTCTAACAAAAAATCTTATGGATCAATGCGATCAAATGACTAGATAAAAAGATATGTGTAATAATTGTCTGGTTTGAAAATATGTTTTAAAGTGTGTAACTTGTTTAGTTAGATATCTAAAATTTTTTAAATCATCGAGAACTCTTTAAAATACATAAAATTTTAATAAAATTAACTCAGAACTATTATATCTAAAAATTAATTTTTCAAAATTTAAAAAAATTTTTTGGAATAATCAAAAAATTGTTTTATGTATCAAGAACTCTAGATAATCGCAAAACGAAACTATTTAATCGCTGAGAACTATGTCATCACGATTTTCGATTAGAAGTTGGCCCCCCATTTTTTAATTTTAATTTTGAGGCAGTAAATCACCAGAACTCTTTATATAAACTATTGAGAACTCTTAGTCTCTCTTCAAAATAAAGCGGGAACTCTAATCAGAACTACAAAAATTTAATGTTGGGATGCCAACTTAACACACGCCAATTATTGAATTACTAAATTCACTCGCGCTGATTCGTTCGTGTTGTTAAGAGTACCACTTGTATTTACGTGTGTGCAGATACATGTCGCATTGGTACGCCGCTCCGCCGCACGCTCAAAAATTGCTATTGTTCATGATGCGACAGAGCGTCAAAGGCACCTTCTTGTCCGTGGGGGGTTTGTTTGTGCCATCGTTGGAGGGCTTCGCGACGGTAATTAACCACTTCGACTCGCCGCGGTATGGCGAGACTTAATTAACTCTCTCCTTTTTCTCTCCCTATCCGGCGTGTGTTCACAAGACGGCCTTGCCTCTCGTTTCAGATCACCAGTATGTCGTTCTCGTATTTTACGGTAATACGTTCCGTTTAACGACAGGATTTACGATTATAGTTTGAATTGTGTACATTATAGCAGCACGTCGTACAAGGATATGTTGAATCTCGCTAGATCACCGATTGTCTCGTCTGTGAGATGATAATAAACGAAAGCTCAGAAGAAAACAAAACATGTGTGTGTGTATATGTGCGCTGATTTGTAAATATTACTCGAGCGCAGAGCGCGCCGCGAAAAGCGTGAAAAACAGCGCGTTTTCCAAGCGGCGCGCGCGCATCATCCGGAAGTAACAGCGTAAATACACTAGTAATCCGATATATATATATGTATAAAACGTTGAGTAAGTACGTCGCAGAAGTGAACACTTTATGTTGCAGCTTACCGGCTTGTCCTTACTTCATGGTAATTTATTCCGCGGCGTCGGTCGTGCGTATAAATCGCACCGTAAAGAAAGTTGCAGTCAATTTGCATCAGTTTAACGCGCGCGAAAGCAATCCGGTGGCGCGCGTTCCGCCTCGCGCGTTCCGCCTCGCGCGTTCGCAATTAATTCGCCGCATATCCGTTTGCGGATATCTTGACAAAGTCGCGTCGCGTGATTATTAACAAACGCGAACAAATCGAGGAAGTGAATAGACGCCGAGCGTGTGAAGGTCGCGCAATTTTTGCTTTCGTAACACCGATGTTTCGCAATATCGGATGACTCGAGGAATAATAGTTTTAATTAAATTTTTTGAGACGACTGTCAGCAGCGAGAAAAAGAGAGAGTCGAGCTTCCTATGCGAAGAATTAACGCGGACTGAAGACCGCGGCTGTTAACTGCGCCTGCGTCACTTGACAAACGCCGCGTGAGAGACAAAAGAAACGCAGTAATTCTCTGAATTTAAGTATTTATACAGAAACGCGTTTTTTTCTCCGGCAATTTTCTCCCGCTTCTTTCCCGGATAGAAAATTGATCAATTATATTCTTATTTGTCGGCTATTTCGACGTCGCGCGTTATTTCGCACAGAAAAACTATATAGACAAAATATCGCTCGAGAAATGGAAGAGCGAAAATTATTTTTCGCTATATCGCTCTCACGGAAAGACGCAGTCATGGTTTCGTCGGAGCGCGAGATGGACTTTATCGGAGCGCGGTATTACAGGATCAATAAAATTCTCCTGTGTAGTCTCGGACTGTGGCCGTCCGAGACAAATCGCGTACAAATTCGCGTGATCTTCTTCTACGTCACGTTTCTCTCCTTTTTGTATGTTCAGGTATTTCGCTCGTTCCACCGCGATAGCGACGTTGTGTGCAACACACACACACACACACACACACACGCAAGCGCGAATGAATAAAATTCATACGCAAATTTTTGCGCCGATTGAGAATTTGTTGCTTGCAGCTCTGCGCGTTGATCACCTCGGCTCACAACTTGGAAGTGATTCTTAAAATTCTCCCCCACATCATGCCTGTTCTTATTTATACGGTGCAGTACAACGCGCATCACGTTTACGCCAGAAAAGTGAGTTTTTCCGACTCAATCGATCTCGTCGTCTAACAGACGAGCGAGTTGACGGTATGTTACAAACAATTAATCGAATTACGACGACGCGAATAAGTCAGTATGAAGCATTTTTTCTATTTTCGGTTATTAACGTAATTATATATTTATTTTGTTTTATTTATCATCACAGAGCCAAGTTTAGTTCTAATCATGTGCGTAAATATTTAAATCACTTAAATAAATTCTCTCCAGCCGTCAATAATTTCATAATCGAAATTAAATCGTTTCCCCTGTCAATTACAATAACAAATATCGTTAGTTAACGGCGACATATTTTTCACACATGTTGTTTGTCTCGAGTAAACTTCGAGTCCCCTGTAGGTCAAGTTGATGATGGACGAAATACGGAACGACTGGAACGCTCTGAACGACAAACAGGAGATCGAGATAATCGAGAGATACGCTCAATCCGTGAATATGCTCACCTTCGTTTTCGCACGTAAGAGAAGAAATCTCGAATTTTCTTGCGAGAATTTACTCGTTAAAAAAAAAAAAACTGGATAAACCACAAGGATGATTTTTCTTTTTACATCTCCTATCTAGTTTGTACTTTTTTCTTCTTGCTTATATTCATCTTTATCGAATTTCTGCCGATGCTGCTCGACGTGGTCGCGCCCCTGAACGAGTCGCGACCGCGCGAGATACACGTGGTGGCGGAATATTTTATCGATCCCGTGAAATATTTTCCCTTCATGCTGCTGCACGAGATCGTCGCGTGCAGCGGCGGAGCCGTCACGACTCTCGCTACCGGGACAATACTGATGGTCTTCGCTTATCACGTTTGCGGGATGATGAAGGTCGTCAGGTAAGAAAGTTCCCGATCGATCTGCGCTCAGATTGCATTTAATTGACCGAGAGAACGTTTCGTAGCTTTCGCATAGAGTACGCGTTCGACGCGAGCGTGCTGCGAGGTTCCGCCGCTCGAGCGGAGAGAACGATACGCGAGAGAATAAGACGCGCCGTGGAATTGCACCGGAAGTCTCTGAAGTGTGTACCGGTTTCGAAATTCCCAACAAATTTAGTCACGAGAAGATTATTTTGATTTCTTTGCTTTTCAAGGTTCATGGATTTTGTTTTCACGACCTTCACAGTACCGTTGTGCGTTCTGATTATTATCGGTATTGCTTCTATAAGTCTCAACTTATTTCAGTCTATTATCTTTTATAAGTCTCAACTTATTTCAGTCTATTATCTTTTATAAGTCTCAACTTATTTCGCGTAAGTATACGATTGTACAGACGGCGTCATTAATTCGAAGAATAGGCGCGGGGATCACATAAAAAGTCCAGTTGATCCAAATATCCATTAGTCCCAAAATCGGGTGTCCAGTTGTGGACACCCGATTGCTACTAGTTAGTTAGTACGGCGCCCGTTGGCGCTACGAGCAACCGCCCTCCGATCCCCGCTTGCTCTCCGATCCCCGCGCCTATTCTTCGAATTAATGACGCCGTCTGTACATATATATCCAACACTCGCTTAAGTAAGTTACTAAGCAAACTTTATCCACGTAACGTACGTATTAAGAATATCACGGCCAAAGCACGTGATTGTACTAGCGTGTGATAATGTTGCAGCTTCTTCAACCAGCCACGATAAAGAACACGACAGATCTCATTACGAATATCGTGCTTCTCATCGGTCATTTTGCTTACATGTTTCTGGCTAATTACTTCGCGCAAACGGTAACCGATCACAGCGCCGATATTTTTGACGCGACGTGAGTATAAAAACTTTTTTAAACAAACAAAAACAAAATTGTACAAAAAGATTAGATTTTTGTAATTAAGAAATGATAATCTAAAAATATATTAATAATATGAAATTTACAAAGATTCAAAGTTTATTATTATAAAATTACAAGATTACAAAGATTATTATTATAAAATTACATGTTATTAATTTTCTGTGTAAAAATGTGTGAACTTTTTTATATTGTCTATCCAAAAATCGGTATTGATGTTATCAAACCGTTGTCGTCACAGATGCAAGGTAATGTGGTACGTTGCTCCATTGTCGTCGCAAAAAATACTGTTATTTTTCATGCGCAGGACGATAAAATTTTTGAAACTTGTCCTCGGCGATATGTTCGTGGCATCGTTGGAAGGTTTCGCCACGGTAATATGTGCACAAGAGCAATTATGTAAATTACTCAAAAAATAGAGGAAAATTTTAATGGAAATTTTTATTTCAACATAATTTACGATCTCTCATCTCAGCTTGAATTTAAACAAGAAATTAAAAACTGTAAATGTAAATAAAAACTAACGGCAAAACATTATTATAGCTTTCCACTACGTCACTATCTTATTTAACCGTAATTTATTCAATACAATAACAACAAAACTTTGTTGAAACGGTCTGGACGTCATGTTAACTCACACACAACGTTACGACTTGATGCATTATAGAGTAGAAAAAAATTACCAGGTATATAAACTTCAAATAATACACACGTACAATTATATAATACATGTAACAAACAACCAAGTTGTACGTAGTTGTAGTTCTTTTTGCACGGAATGTACGTACCATTGTATCTTGTTTGCAGCACTTCAACTGAGACTCTCTCGTTTCGAACTTCGATTTCTTTACTGGCAATTTTTCAAATTGCACATAAAATGATTTTATAAAGAAAAACAAAGTCGAGCTTGTTTTATATAACTGCGTAGTTAATAAACATTTTATCCGCAATGCCTCTTTTTCTATTTTTCATCGTTTACAGCGTTTCTACATTTTTAAACTGCGCGATTCTCGCGTATTGTGCAGCGTCTTCTCGCACGGTTCGAAGTCGACTGGCGCAACTCGCAAATAAGAGAAGAACGCGATTGTCAACTGCGCCTGCGTCCACAAATTATCCACACAATAAGAGAAGTGTAATTTTCTCTAATGTGTTAGATAGTTTGTTTCGTTTACTCGTAATGCGGCGTCATTGCTCGAATTACGCGAATCGATGAAGAAACTACGGCAAAAAAAAAAAAATCATCACTAAATTATTCCAGCGTGTGTTGCATTTTGTTCTTTTTTGTTCGCGACAAACCTTCGTCAAGAAAGGAACGTTCGGTAAAGTCGGTCATGTTCGACAAAGATTTGTGCTCGTCGTGCGAAAAAATGATCGAACGTTATTACAACGTTAGTCAGATGATGCTGGCAGCTATCGGTTTGTGGCCGTATCAGAAAACAAGGACTTTGCGAATTCAAGGGACTCTTATTCTCGGCATACTGGTCTTCTTCATGTTTTTTCAAGTATTTCACGATTTTTTTTTTTCTTTTTTAAACACGCATGTTAAAGAAGTAACTCTTACGGCAAGTTTCTCTTAGCTTACGACATTTGCAACAACGTCGATCAGCGCCGATTACATCATCAAAGAAGTCTCGTATCTCTTTCTCACCTGCGTTTATTCTTTGAATTACAACAGTTTTTATTTCAACAGACAAAACGTAAGTATCGATATTCCCGTCTTTTGACGTAAACAAGTTTTATTTGAATTAGATTCCAGTCAAGCGACTCTCTTCTTCGTAAGAACGAATTGATCGATTGTTTCCTACAATCAGATAAAACGCTTCGTAGAACATATCAAGACCGACTGGTCATTTCTCAGTGAGAATTACGAGGTTGAGATATTGAAAAAATACACCTACCAGGGCTACATTTTCGGAATACTATCAAGTGGTAAATAAAAGTGGATTTCTAATTTACAAAAAAAAAAAACAACAACCTTAGGCACTTTATTTACATTGATTCTCATCATTCTCGCGTTATTTCCGTTTTTTTTTTTAGGTTTTACATTTTTTCTTTTTGTGACTTTTATATTGTTCGAAATGACGCCCGTTATACTCGATATTGCGAAGCCGCTGAACGAATCGCGACCGCGTACCATTGAAGTTCCGTTTGAATTTTTTATTTTCAACGAGAATGATCATTTTTTCATCTGCTTATTATTCGAAATCGTTGTCCTTACCATCGGCATTTGGTCGCTTCTCTCGACGGGATCTTTTCTCTTTATGATGGGAAGACACTTCTGCGCGACCTACAAAATTGCCAGGTAAATCTTATTTTGAAGAAGCAATTTCGATGTGTTTTCTATATTGATTTCGTCTGTTCTTCATTCATTGATTTTGCACGTTGCTTGCAGCATCTTAATCGAAAATACAGTGACCGAGCGGGTGATGCAGATTCCCGTGTCTCAGAGAATGTATTTGATGTATCATAAAATTCATCGAGGTGTCATTATTCACAGAAGAACTATGGAGTTAGTTTTGCACATATCTTGAAAAATAAAATGTATTATTTACAATTATTAATTACAAAAAGTCTTAGCTAAAGAGTGTTTTTTGTTACCGAAGGTTTATCAATGAGCAACTGCACACTTTTCACTTGTGGTATTTTCCGCTGATTGTAGTTGGCGCGGTGTCTTTGAGTTGCGTTTTCTTTCGTGTAAGTGACACATTTAACGTGTCGGATATTTTTTTCTTTTTTTTTTTTCCGGATTGCTCGGCTTAGTTTTACTCTGTATTTATGAGTTTGAGTTTAGAAATTATTCACAGCTTGCAATGCTTTGTAGATGGTCAATGCTGTAACGAAAAGCGACATACTTCATAACGAGAAGGATTTTTACGAATTTTTCATATCGTTCGCGTTGTTTTTGGGTCATCTTGGTTACATGTTTGTGGCAAATTTGTGCGTGCAATTACTGATCGATCACAGCGCAAAGGTGTGGGAGGCAATGTAAGTAATACTCGAATGCAACTTACGTGTCGTTGTTATCCGCGTTTTGTAAATATGTTGTTCTTTTTTTTTTCTTTTTTTTATTTTTTTAACTTTAGTTTTCAAACTCTGTGGTACATAGCGCCGTTGTCTATTCAGAAAATGATATTGTTCATGCAGTTGGCCATAAAAGAACAAAAACTGGTGGTCGCCGGTGTCTTCGTTCCCAGCTTAGAGGGATTTGCCACGGTAAGCGAGGATTTCGTAAATAAATATTCGCAGAAGTCACGCTCTGATATAATTACATTTGACAAGTAAACGATGTTCAACGGTCAGACAGTAAATGAGGAGAACGTGTAAAAAGAGCAGTATGAGAAGGAGATTTTTTGTTTCCAGCTCTTCACCTCGGCGATATCGTACTTTACCGTAATATACGCTCTGCAAGGATACTGAAATAAGAAGAAAGAGAATTAATCGTTCGAGTAGAAGCAAAAGTCGTTCGATTACGCTACATAGATTAATCAATTGAACTTATTAATGTAATGCAAAGTGTGACGTTGAACTTAACAATTTTTACGCTGCCTTACTTAAGATTGGATTACTGGCAATAAGTAGTGACTACACAAGTAGGTTTATAAAAAACATTTGTCACACATACACACAGGTGAATGTCAATTACGTATAATTATCTTTCTTCGCACTTTTTTTTTGCGTTGAATCAGTAAAACGTCCGTGCGCCGTTTATTAAAACACATTAATAAATTAACACTGATATTTAATTTTCAAGTCTTTGTCATATCCAAAATGTAGACATTTGAAAGAACTTATTCGAAATGCAAAAAGATAGAAGTGGCAAAGCAGCTCTACGCCGAGCTGCGTGTGTCGCTCGGCGTAGAGCTGCTCGGAGACGTATTCAAAGATAAATGTTTGAAAGGGAGGGAAAGGACACGTAGAGCGTTCCCTTTACTCGTGCATCGACTCGACGTGTGTGAAGGATGGGGTTCGTGGGTAGAAGATCGTTACCATAAGACAAACAGAACTTTGCTAAAAGTCCTCGGTTTATGACCCTATCGTCGCACGAAATGGACGCATGTCCGAGCGGTGATTACTGAGCTTATTTCTATCGTTCGCACTCGACACTGTCTTCATGGTGTTTATGTACTGTATTTATTGTTTCAACGCTGATGTGTAAGTTCAAATAATTTCGATTCCGATGGTTCTTGTGCGCGCACGCGCATTGATAGTCATTAGTTCAGGGAAATTATGCAGCGTATGTATCACCACTGGGAGTCTCTTAATGACAATGTGGAATTCAGTATAATGGACAATCATGTCAGACTAACGAAAATGTTTACGCGCATGAATTCCGGTAAGCATCAATAATATTTCAGATACGTATTTTAAGTTTCTTCTCTGAACTGTTATTTTTTCGTGAATGTTTAATTCATAGTTTTTTTTTTTTATTGAAATAATGTATTACCACGTAACAAATAAGAGTGTAATATAATAATAATAATAATTAATAAAATAATAATATTAAAATAATAATACTGTAATAATTACATAATTATTTACCATATATATACTATATTATACAAATTATATACTATATACTATATGTATATATACTTTATCATGCAATTATACTATATTATACTGTAATATACGTAATATGTTTTTGTATTTCGGTACGTTTTAGGTTTTGTCATTTTTGTCGATTTACTAGCGGTAATGTCCCACATTATACCGATATGTCCCTTGACATAGTCGCGTCCATAAATGAGACTCGCGGAGAAACTGTGCACGTCACATCGGAATACTTCGTCGATCATTTCGAAATATTACCTTCTGGTTGTGATTCACTTGACAACCTCTGTATAGATGCAATCTCAGCGATGTCGACCTCTTTAACGTTTTTTGGGTTTTGATTTTCATGGTTGCGCTCTGTTCATAGTAGCCAAGTGAGAATAAATATACTCGAATCATTCGCAGTTATAAATATATATCCGAAATATATACCTATATCGAATCTCGTACGTAAATTATTATACATCGATACGCTTACAGCTATCGAATGGGGATCGTGATGGACGAAAACTGTGTTGCAAATGTCGAGCTCGGAGAGAGAGCGTATGATTTATAAAAGAATCATTCACGCTGTGCAATTTTCATTAAACGAACATGCAGTTTGTACGTACACACATATAAATATTTCTTAAATCGCGTTTCTCACTTGTTGCAATTTGTTATTTTATTCAAGATTCTCCGAGCTTTTACTCACTCATTTAGAGAAATCGTTCGGTATTTTGGTTGCGATCGATGTCGTGTCGGCGAGTGTCACTTTATTTCGAGTAAATACCATATATCGTTCTCTTGTGACTTTATCGAATTTAATCGATTATTTTCTCAATTACACATAACGATTTCCGATATTGCGGTTTCTGAACGCGATAAGATATCATACGGACGATGTAATGGATGTGTTTATACCGGCAGCTTCTGTGTATTTACTTCTTACGTTTATTTTTCGGGAATCACACATCGATCAGCAAATAAAACAGGCAATAATTTCGAGATCTTCGATACGACGTGCGTGTTTATTCGAAGAACGTTAATGAACGTTCCGTTCTGTGTACGCACGCGTATCGTGTCTCAGATATTATTCTTTACAGGTACAATCTGCCACAGTACGTGGCGTCTCCGAATATGAAACAATTGTTGTTACTCGTGTTGTAAAAAAAAATTCTATCTGTCACTTAGCAATTTGTTCAACGCTTCGTACGAAGATTTCGAAGCAACGGTAACGAGCGTTTGATTTTACGAGTATTATTTTTGTATCTATTCTATTTTATTCTATTCTGTTCTATTCACATTAAGATATATTCTCTCTATAATAGATATTTTTTTATAATAAATATCGTGTTTTAGCTCACGATATTATCGATTTCGTACTTCACCGTGCTTTGTTCTATTTAATGATACAAAGTAAAAAATTTAGAGGTTTGCACTCGGCAGTGATGGGACGATTATTTTGTTCGCTTTACGCGTGTATGCAACACGTATCTAATATCACATCATACGAAAATAAAATATAGATGTTGACAAAAATGTGTTTTTGAAAAAAACGAGATATGAATCGCAAATATTTAATATATCTTTGCACACATCATTTTTAATAAAAATAACTATATGCATATACTGTAATTAATATGTAACATATAATGTGTGTTACAAAAATAAAGACGTATGACATGCTCGTTAAAGAGACGTGTATACCACTGACTGATATCTGTTTTGCGTGTAACAAAAGTGACTTTTGTGAATTTTGTGTTAACATTTGTAGTAGCTACAGAAAACAAACGCTCTTGCGAGTCGAAGTGTCTGAAGTAGGTCGCAACTTTGAGGAAATATTAGGGTGGCTCTTATTTTCGACTTCTGAATTTTTTCGCCGCACCCTCTTTAATGGTTCCAGTTGCTACAATAATAATGTGAAAAAATTCAAGTCCAATCGGATAAGGGAAAGAGTCCTTGAAANAAAAAAAAAAAAAAAAAAAAAAAAAGAGCTAGTCGTTTGACCAGAAACAAACGTTCAATTACGTTACCTAGATAATCATTAGACTGCCAATTAAACTTAATAACATAATGCGAGGCATGATGTGGAACTTAACAATTTTTACGCTGCCTCATTAAAATTGAATTACTGGTAATATGTAATTACTATACAAGTAGGTTTATAAAAACATTTGTCACACACAGTTGAATGTTAATTACGTAAATAAATTACCTTTTTTTCTTCACATTGTTTTGCGTTGAATCAGTAAAACGTCTGTGCGTCGTTTATTTAAAACGCATTAACTAAAATTACACTGACAATTAATCACGTTTTTGTTATATCAAAATAAAAATTGAAAAAGACTTTTCTTCAAAATAAAAAACATATGATATAAATAAAAGTCTAACATATGAATAAAAGTCTTTTTTAATTTTTATTCAAAATAAAACAAATGAAGTAGCCAGCTTTACGCCGAGCGTGTCGCTTGAAGAAACTAATGCGACTTGCTTCGTAATACTGTTGTTTCTCCACACCGGTTTTTTTCTTTTTTTTTTTTTATTTTTATTATCAAAAATACTGTTACATATGATGTACAGAAAATTGTTTCTAAAGAATAATTGTATCAATTGGCATCATCAGATGTGTGCCTGCTACTTTAACGATCGATGTTTTCACACAACGTGTGTAAAGAAATAAGTGCGCTAAATTACATGTCATTACATACATTTGACTATTTCACACGATTGTACATATTCACAAAGTTTTCGCGAAAAATTACGGACCGTTCCAAACGCAATTATAGATAAATATTGGAAGAATAAAGAAAGAGGGTAGTACGTTCTCCACGCAGCGTTTCTTTTATTTACGGATCGACTCTCGTGCGTGAAAGATGTCGTGGGTAGAAGATCGTTACTATAAGATGAATAAGATTTTGTTAAAACTCCTGGGTATATGGCCCTTTCATCGCACAAAGTGGATGTATGTCCATATGGTGATTATAGCGAGCATCTTAATATCGTTTATATTCGTGCAGGTATATTAACGTTTTTCTTTATTCGCAACGTATCGATGACACATTGTTATCGACGTACCTTGCAATTGTCGCTTTCAGCTTGCGGTGTTCATAACACACGAGATAACCATGGATCTAGCGATGAACGTACTTTCTCTCTCATTTGTCAGTATTCTTATGTTGTACTTGTACTGCTTTTATTGTTTCAACATCGAAAATGTAAGTGTGATTAAATAATTCGAGATTCCGACTTTTGGTTCTTGTAAACGCGCGATAATTATTAGTTCGATAGTTCAAGGATATTATAGAGCATATGTATCGCCACTGGGAGTCTCTTAGTGACAACATGGAACTCACCATAATGGACGATCATGCCAGAATAGCGAACATGTTTACGCACATGAGTTCCGGTGAGCATTAATAATATTTCAAGCAAGATGACACGATCTATTTGTGAATTTACAGTTCTTTTTTTTTTTTTTCAAAATAATTTATAACGCGTCGTAATGAATAAATATAATATAAGTAAAATAAAAAATAATAGTAGTAATATAATATTTACACATAATAAAATTATAATAATTTATTATATGATATATTTTAAGATAGTGATGTTTTGGCATTTTGTAGGTTTTGCTTGTGTCATCGATTTTACAGCGATAATATCCCACGCCATACCGATAACTCTTGACATAGTCAGGCCCATAAATAAGACCCGCGGAGAAAACGTGCACATCACGTCGGAGTATTTCGTCGATCATTCGAAATATTATCTTGTGGCGGTGATTCACCTGACAATCTGCGTCTGCGTAGGTGCGATCTCGATGGCTTCAACCGGCGTGATGTTCATGAATTGCGGTATTCACGCCTGCGCTTTGTTCAAAGTAGCCAAGTGAGGATAAAAAAATAATCGATTTAGTCGCAGTTGGAAATTCAAAGTATTTATACCGATAATCTGGTGTATATTAATTAAAAAAAACAACATACACTGACGCGCTTACAGCTATCGAATGGGGATAGTGATGGATCAAACTGTGTTGCAAATGTCGAGCCCGGAGCGGGAGCACGTGATTCACGAAAGAATCATTCACGCTGTCAATTTTCATCGTACGGCCATGCAGTTCGTATATATAAAAAATTTTTCGCGAAAAATGGTTAATTTCTCTTTTATTGCAATGTGTTATTGTATATTGAAGGTTCTGCCAGATTTTACTCATGTATTTAGAGAAATGGTTTAGCATTCTGGTTGTGATCGGCGTCTTGTCCACGAGTATAACTTTATTTCGAGTAAGTACGTATTCCGCATTACGTTATCGCGTAAATTTATTCGAATTATTACGAATAGTTTTAAAATAAATAAATATTATTAAGTCGATTATTATTTTTGAACATACATATATGATTCGCAATATTGCAGTTTCTGAATGCGATAACGTATCATGCAAACGATGCGGTTGAACTGTTCATATCGGCCGCTTGTGTGTTCGGTCACTTCTTAAGTTTATTTTTTGGGAATCACATCGGTCAGCAAGTTACAGACAATAATTCCGAGATCTTTGATACGGCGTGCGTGTTTATTCAAAGAACGTTAATGAACGTTCCGTTTTGTGTACGCATGCGTATCATGTCTCACACAGATACTATTTTTATTTTTTATTTTTTAGATACAATCTGCCGTGGTACGTAGCGTCTTCGAATATAAAACATTTATTCTTACTCTTGTTGCAACGCGGCAACAAGAAATTCTATCTGTCACTTAGCAGTTTGTTCACCGCTTCGTACGAAGGCTTCGCAACGGTAATGAGTGTTTTTTTTTTTTTTTTTTACGAGTGTTTTTGCAATCTCTGTCACTTAAAGGACACTTCTATTCTATCACATCAAAGGACACTTTGTACAATAAATTTTGTGTTTTAGCTCACGACGTCGTCGATTTCGTACTTCACCGTGCTTTATTCCGTCTAATGTCACAAAGTCGAAGAAAGCGTAGGATTTTTTTGCACTGAGACATTGAGAAAACGATTATTCTGTTCGCTTTACGTGTGTGCAACGTATCTAATCGCATCGTACGAGAATAAAACTTGGAAGTTTTTGGCAAAAAGTTCCTGAAAAAACGAGATATGCGATCGCAAATATTAAATATATCTTCACACGCATCATTTATAGTAAACAACATTGCGTACCATAATTAATTTGTAACATATAATTTTTGTTATCTCTACAAATAAAGGTTATACGACATGCTCGTGACAAAGATGTATATAACATTGACTGATATATCAGTCTTGCATGTAATGGAAATGACTGCGAGTTTCGTGTTAATGTTTGTAGTAGCTATATAGAAAATAAGTAGTTTTACGAACCGAAGTATCTCTCTCTCTCTCTCTCTTTCTGAAGTAGTTCGCAACTTCGAGCAAATAGGTACAATATCTGTAACATCAAAAGTCAATAGTATTATAATTAAAAATACACTCGATTTTGTTCTTAATTTATTATTTACTTCTCAAATAATAAATTGTTGACGGTCGCACTAATTGCTCAGAAATTTTCGATAATATTTAATTTCAATTTTTTTCTTTGTTTTGTATTAACTTTCATAGAACCAATTATGACAAATATAAATCGTTTATTTGTTTGCAACTAATCGCGACGATTTTTTTGATATTTTTCATTTATCTTTAAACGCATTTTAGCGTAAATTAATAATCTCTCCTTGCCATATATATTTTTTTATATTTTTTTATAAAGGTGGTTTACATGTTTTTGTAAAAGATTTTTTCTTGTAAATAACTTAATTAATTAATTAATTAATAATTTTTTTTAGTTTTGTGTCGCAAAATTTTGAAAAATTCATAGGGTTGAAAAATTAGTGGGAGTTTCACGAAAGTAAAATTATACATATACTATAAGTATAAATTAAAAAAAAAACTATTTACTGTTTCTGAACATTGTTACTTATGTTATTTAATATGTTATTTTTTTCTGTTTCAGGTAAGTGTGCACAAACTTGCTATCGGGGCGAGACAATGCGTGTGGTCGTTTTGGTGAGTGAATGAGAATCGTGTTTAACCTAAGAAAGAGACACGATATGTACTTATGTGTACAGGCTACTCACATAGATGCATGTTCTATGTGAATGATCAACTCGCGTTTTACTTGCGAGTTGCGTATAACTCACGATACACTTTTCAGTTCGATGCGAAGCGACAAACGCATCGTGCGAAACTGAAACTTCTTCGTATTCTTTTTCCCCCACTCTTTAAGTTTTAAAATATCTCTCTTTCGAGAGAAAAAAATATTACCGCGCTACTATAGCGCTTCAATTATAAATTGAAGCAATTTGAATTAATTCGTTGCCTATAGACTTCGAATGTTATTTATTGCTATCGCGAAAGTATAGCTGTCCATCACTCTCAAATTGAAGCAATTTGGAGAGATAATGACATCACAATTGTGCATAATACTTTCCTAGCTTTAAAAAAAACATGACTATTTTCTTATAGTATATTTTACCGTATAAGTTATTGATTGGTCGAAATTCGTAAAAAGTACAGAGAGAGAAACAAATTTCAAATTTTCGTGTCGCAGTCATGTCGCAGCTTTCGTGCAAGATGTACGCGAATATGGAATATTATCACAAGCCCATTCGTATTGTTCTCTCGTTGATCGGCTTGTGGCCATATCAGTGTTCGTATGTTGCGAAAATACAAAAAGTAATATGTTTAACATTGTTGTTGTCACTCACTCTTGTTCAGGTACATCAAATTATACGGAACAAAAACTTTGGCTTGGGGAATAGCAAGAAGATTAGTTACTATATGTTCAGCAAAAACAAGTTGTCTATTAATTTGTTGTTTTTGCCAATTTATTGTTTTGTTAGTAAAACAATAAGCTTCACAGAAAGCTTAACAACTCGTTTTTACCGGACGTAATAGTAGCAAAGCTTTTTCTTTCCGCGATTGTTACTAAATTTAATCAAGTTCGCGTTCGACATCGTTTGACAAAATAAAAAATGCGATATTCGATGTAGGTGTGATATTCCTTTCATATAAGTATTCAGAACACGTTATTTCTAGCTGCTGGTATTCGTTACAACGCATTACACAATAAATCTTCTTATTGAGATTCTCGTGTTCGTCTGTCCTTTGTGTTGTGTCACAATAAAATATTGTTTTTGTCTTATTGAGGCGGACCGTGTAAGTTTCGCTAAAGACAAATTTATTCACGTATTTGCGGTAAAATGAGATACGATATAAATGCTAGTATTCCGAAATTTTGTAAAAGATACATATATGGAATCTTCGCAGATTAAACAACTGATGGGAGAAATGCAAAGCGATTGGTTCGCGTTGCAAAATAAAAGAGAAATCGTTATTTTGCATCAATACGCTCGCTTCGGGAGACTCGCCTCGCTGGTTATAATAGGTGAGATCGTTACGAATTAGATGTTCATGATAATATTATTATTAATAAAATCGCACAAAATAGCGTTATATCATTCCTTACACTCGTCCAATATGGACAAGACAATGCTCGAGGACGCATCTTTCCATAATAACCCTTCCGTAGTAATAATAATTTTTCTATAATAACAATAATTCTTTTATGATAATAATAATAATGTTCCTCAGTGGGTGGCTATTTTACCGTGACCGGTACCGTGATATGTCAAAATCTGCCGTTAATTCTTGACGTCGTGTTGCCGAAAAACCAATCGCGATCGTATCGCTTGTATATCATAACAGAATACTTCATCGATCAGGAGAAATATTTTTACTTTATACTGTTACACATGTCGTTAGTCACCTATGTAGCTCTTACTGCGCTTTGCGGTGTGAGTTCTATGCTGATGATGGGCATTCTGCATGTGTGCATGCTTTTCAAAATCGCAAGGTACTTAAAAATGTGAAACACCGTTTCTTCTGAACGCGTTCTTTGCATTCGGTTTACGCTCGAGATTTGCATTTACGGCACTTAATTTCGTGTGCGCACAGCTATCGAATGACGAACGCACTCAAGAAGAATGCGGTGGAAGCATCGAGTCCTGAAAATAAATCCTTAACTTGCGAAAAAATAATACACGCGGTCGTCATTCATCAAAGAGCCAATAAGTTAGTATTCCTTTTCTTTTTGATAAATAAATAAGACAATATTTTTTTTGTATTATAACTGTTTTGTAAACGAAAACAATTGTGCGATAATTTTTATTACATTTTTTTTTTTTTTTTTTTTTTATT